CTGCCGTCAACCGAAAAAACACCAGCTACGGCAGACCTGGTTTAGTGTAGTGATTCTGGCCAAGTCAAGGGCTCCGGGGCCCTAGCACTAATCGGGTCCTCTTACCTGGGGTCCTGGCTATACGCGATAACCCCCTCTTTGACCAGGGACCGACCGTCCCGGCATTCCTATAATCCTACCACGAAATGTTCTCAGAACCCAACAATGTTCTAAGAACAAAAACAATGTTCTTAGCACATATCCCCGATGTGTTAAAACAAGACAGACTCCGCCAGAAAGGTTCTAAGAACATTTCGTGGGAATAACAGAAGGTTCTTAGAACATTGCTTGGTAGGCCATAGGCGAGCCGGGACGCTTCGCCACAGCTTGACCTCTGCGCGTGGCCGAGCCTCGGGCGTCTGCCGGGCCCCCGAGCCGGCTCGGGCCGCCCCTGCGCTGGCACGCCGGCAGCTCTGCAACTGGACGCCTGTGCGCCACCGCTCTCGGGAGCCCCCCGGGGGGCCCTCCACGGGCCCTGCGGCCCCCTGGGGGGCTTGCGATCTGCGCAACTGTCACCATTTTCGTGGGCTCCTGGGAGGCCCACGCGGACCACCTCGGGACCTCGCCGCCCCCTGGGGGGCTTGCGATCTGCGCAACAGTCGCCACTTTCGTGGGCTCCTGGGAGGCCCAGCGGAGGCACGTCCCACGCGGACCACCTCGGGACCTCGCGGTGCCCCCGGGACGGGCCCTGCGGCCTTGGCCCTCATAGAGGCCTCGGCCTCCTAGATGGGGTCGGAGGCTCGCGCCGCATCCCCCATGCATCGGCGATGCATCGGCGACACGTCGGCGATGCACCGGCGGTGCATCGGCGACGCCGGCGCGGAGCAAGTTGGGCCCCACATCGAGCCGCCTCGCCGATGCATCGGCGACGTGGCGCGCTCCTCCGACCCCGCCTGCTCCGACCCCGTCGGGGAGGCCTGGACCTCGGGACTCCCCCCCCGTCGAGGTGCCCGCGGGTGCTCCGCCGGGGCGAGTCTCTGCACGGGCTGCTCGGCCCGACCCGTCCAGGGCCGGGGGCGCTCGGCCTCCCCCTGCACGGCACGGCCCTGGTCGGGCATCTTCTGACCCGGGTCAATCCAGACCCAGGTCAGCAGGAAACCAAAAAACTGCAATGCAGGAGCAAAAAACACTGGTCAGCAGGAAACCAAAGAACCGCAACGCAGGAAAACAAAAACACTGCAACGCATGTCTTCGCGAACCCGGGTCAGCCAATAACTGCGCGGCGGCCTCGCGGCCACGAGCGGCTCGCTAACCCGGGGCAGCCAGAGGGGGCCTTCGCAGGATCCTGCAGGATCTGGTGCCCTGGCTGGCCCCCGTTTGCATCGACCCCCGTCTCTCGAGCCCCAACCTGACCTCTGCCCCGGGCCGCCGGGAAGACCCCCAGGCGGGAGGGAGGCGGCAGGATTCTGCCGCCGGCTCGGGGAAGGCAGCTTCTGCTGGGAGAGGCCGGATGGAGGAGGCCCGCTCGGAAGATCTGCCGAAGTGGCTCCGAGGCTCGAGCATCGGTCGGCCCTCGAAGGCATCCAGCCAACGCTGGCAGCGCACGCGCGTGCACACCGGGGTGTGAGAGCGCGCTGGGCAGGGGAGCGCGCATGTCGCACCCAGTGGCTGACCAACATTGAGGCACGCTACCCTGGGCTTTCCCCGACACGTGTGCAGGTGAGAGGCGCGCGAAAGGTGACTGAGGGAAGCCTGACCCAACATCGATTCTGAAGGCCAGATCCAGAATCTCCTCTAGACTGCAAGGATAAACCATGCATATGGGACTCCGGGCATGCGAGCCCAGACTTGCACTGTGCCACCTGAAAACATGTCGCCACGCCCTTGTCCTCCACCTCCTCTTCTCCCTCCCGCCCCCTCGTCCGCCTCCCGTCACGCACGCATCCCTCGCTGCTTCCCATCTCCCACAGGGTCGCCGAGACGCAGTTGAAACCGCACGGCACCAGGTCGTAGGTGGCACCGCTGTGCATGCGCAGCGAGTCGCCAGATATCACCTGCGGTGACCAGCAGGGCGCCGGGGCACAGTTAGACCCTCCCTGCACAGTGGGTCGATGAGCGGGGGGGGAGGGAGGGAGGGGGAGGGAGGGAGAGGGGAGAGGCAAGCTAGGTGCGGTCGCGTCATATCTGACGTCCTACCCCTCCCTCCCATCCCTTACCATGGCGCTGATTTTCTCTATCCGCGGACGCGTGTCGTAGCGGACCTGTGGCTCCGCGCGCGTGCGTAGTGGGTGGTGGTGCACGTGCGTGCGTGCGTGCGTGTGTGCGTGGTTGTCGTGGTGGTGGTGGTGGTGGTGGTGGTGGTGGTAGTGGTGGTGGTGGTGGTGGTGGTGATGGTGGTGGTGGTGGTGGTGGTGGTGGTGGTGGTGGTGGTGGTGGTGGTGGTGGTGGTGGTGGTGGTGGTGGTGGTGGTGGTGGTGGTGGTGGTGGTGGTGGTGGTGGTGCGGTGCTGCGGTGGTGGCGGGCGGATGGGCGCGCGAGAAAAAGGCCCGCGCTGGGGCGAGAACGCCATCCTGAACGACGGAGGCCAAACACCGATCCGAAAATGAGGCCCACGCTGCAGCGGGAGCACGATTCGGAACGATTCGGGAGCAGAAATGAGGCCGGCGCCTCAACGAGAGCAGCATTTTGGGAAAAAATGACGCCGGCGCCTCAGCGAGAGTCGTTTCCCGGGATTTCCCGGGCATCCTGTGTGCGAAAAAACAGTACGCGGAGGGTGCGCGGCCATCACCCGGACGCCATCAGGGGAAGGATTCGGGAGCAGAAATGAGGCCGGCGCCTCAACGAGAGCAGCACTTTGGGAAAAATTAAGGCCGGCGCGAGAGCAGCATTTTGGGAAAAAATGACGCCGGCGCCTCAGCGAGAGTCGTTTCCCCGGATTTCCCGGGCATCCTGTGTGTAAAAAACAGTACGCGGAGGGTGCGCGGCCATCACCCGGACGCCATCAGGGGAAGAGGGAGAGTATATTCATATTGAATAATTGTGAAGGGGGAGGGAGGGGAAGGAGGGGAGAGGAGAGGGGAGAGGTAGGAGGGGGAGGGAGGGGCGAGGGGGAGCGAGGGGAAAGGGGGAATGAGGGGAGAGGGAGGGAGGCAAGCTAGGAGCACTCGGGTCAATCTGGTGTCCTACCCCTCCCGCCCATCCCTTACCATGGCGTAGATCTCCTTCCTATCACAGTTGGATGTCGCAGCGTGGTATAACATTACATGGCATGTGTTAAAGATCAACGCGTAGCATGACAGAGCATGGCGTGGTGACGCCCCAACGTGGGGGGCTTCTGCGGCCCAGAAAATCAATGAATAAACACCGAATGTGTAATCACTTCCGATGTTTTTTTCGGGAGGCTTTTTTTTGTTTTTTAATGATTTTTTGGCTTATGTGGAAGGGCCAAAAACCATTCCCTGGCATGGCACTGGAAATAATGACGCCAGCGCTGCAGCCGGAGCACGATTCTGAACAAGCGGAAGCGCGGAAATGAGGCCAGCGCTGCAACCGGAGCACGATTCGGAACGAGCGGAAGCGCGGAAATGAGGCCAGCGCTGCAGCGGGACCACGATTCGGAAGGAGCGGCAGCCCGAAAATGAGGCCAGCGCCTCAGCGGGATCAGCATTTTGATAAAACAAAAAGAAAACCAAACGAACGTGCAATTCTCGGGAATCCTGTGAAAAACAATTCGCGGAGGGGGGGGCGAACATTTCCCGGAGTGGAGTAGTATTCACATTGTGCAACTCTGGAGGGGGAGGGAGGGGGAGGGCACAGGGAGGGGGAGGGAGGGCGGAGACCCGGCAGCCAGACTCGGGCGCGATGGGGCTGCTGGATGTCCTCCAGTGCCCCATCGTCTCGCTCCTCTTCTTACTCTTCCTCCTCCTCATCACCCTCGTCCTCCTCCCGCTCGTCCTCATCCTTCCCCCCGCTCTCCTCCTCCCCCTGTTCATCATTCTTGCCCTCGTCCTCGACCTCCTTCTCCCCCCTCTGCCCCTCCTCCTTCCCGTCGCCTGCTCATCCTGCACCTCCCGGCCACAGACGCGGTCCAAGCTCGCAGCTGCTGGCACCCGCACGGCGCAGCGCCGGCCCACGGCCTCCGCCGCAGCTGCCCCAGCTGGCCACGAGACGCCCGGGGCACCCCGGAATCCTCGGAGGTGCACCTCACGCGCGCCCAAACAGGCCCGAGGACAGATTCCCGGTCCTCAAGCAGCGCTTGCGCAGGCAGGGGCTCTCCATCCGCTTGCTTGCATCCGTGGATGGGCGGCAGGAGTCTCCCGCTGGTGCCCGCGCGTGGGCGCCCCGTGCCGGGGGGGGCATATGCCGAGGCTTCCCCGAGGGCTCCCAGCCTCGCGCTTCGCGCTGCGCGAAGCGCGAAGTGCGAATCACTTCGCGCTCTCGCGCCGCCTTCCATTTGGACACCCGAAATGGGTACCGAAAGAATGGGTACAATGCCCAACAACAAATGTTGTCCCAAACCAACAGCAGCCGCTGTTGGACAGGCGGCATTCTGTCTCGAATGGACACAGGCCGCGGCGGCGCGGACAGCGAGCCCTGTTCAAAATGAACAGGAACTGCTGTTGGGCATCGTACCCGTTCTTTCGGTGCCCATGTCGGGCGTCCAGATCCCAGGGGAGAAGAGGAGGAAGAGGAGGAAGAGGCGGCGGCGGCGGCAGGCGCATCAGAGGGGTGTCGACGGCATCCTCGAACTCGGCCACGGGCAGAAAGCTCGGGGGCAGGCCGACCATTGCGTCGTCGACGTCCCCTCTAGCGGGCGCCGTGGCTCTAAACCTGAAAGGAAAAGGACCACGCGTGGCCTTGTGGCACGGGGCTCCCGCCCGCCCCCCTACCTCGGCTGGTTCGGGGCCGAACGGCGAAGCGCGAGTAACTTCGCGCCCTCGAGGGCGCCCCTGCTTCCCCTGGTGCCAGCCAGTGCGCCCCTCGGGCGCTCTCGGGCGCCCCGCGCGGGAGGCAGAGGGGTGGGCCGAGGACGACGTAGATTCTCCTCGGGAGAGAGGAATCTTCCTTCTCTGGTTCGGTGGCAACTCATGGGAGCCTCCCATACCATCTTGTCGGCTCTTGCGAATCGACGCTAATCGACTCTAGTCGACGCTAATCGACGCTAAATCGACGCTAACCGACGCTAACTGACGCAAAATCGGCGTTCTCTCATCGACCCCCAGACGCTAATCGACGCTAACCGACGCTAAAGACGGAATTGAAAGGGTACACCAGGCTCCCATGACTTGCTACCGAACTCTGGGGTACCTCGTAGATTTTCCTGGGAGAGGTTTAGCTCGAACCAGTTCCGCGCCACCTCAAAGAGGTATTCCGTGACATGCGCATCTTGCCGTTGCAAGGCTTGTTCACACGGGCGCGTGCTTCTACAGACTTGGATCAGACCAAGCATGCCACTTTCCTTTGCCTGAATGTTGCGCTTGGGGAAAAAATCCTTCTCTGGGGTTGAACGCCCCCTCTGGGGTATGTTCGCATTGTTTCTCTACGATCGACGATCATGACTATCAGAACGTACCATGCCAGTCCAACCGGCATCGCCGCTCTCATCCATGTCAAATAATGCAATGCGGGCGCAATCTTCAATCACACAAGATCAGCTCTTGCAACAGATGCAACAACATCCACACGCGCGCGACCGTGTCAAAATCACACCAACCACGTTAGTTATGCACGCGCTTCAGCGTACACACCAGAAAACCACATCGGCTTCTCATCAAACGTATTGCAAATTATCTAGCCGTGTTTGCTGGCTGAAGTCATTTATAAATTGTATGAATTCATACATTGCGTTCACAACGCGCATTCTGAACTCACCACGCGTTGATCTAGCATGCGGCATGCGCTGCGCGAGTCCATCGAGTCACCGACCAGGACTTAAATACCCGCGCGTAAAGATGGCCTTCCAGACGAGCTGGGAAGTCCACACGGGCAATCGTAATCCCCATCGCGGCCGAATCACTTGTGCTCAAAAAGCTGGCCGATCTGCTCGTGAACGGGCGCGCGCCAGTGTGGCCGCAAAGATGCGCCAGCAGATCCCAGACGGCAGCGGCTATCCCAGCTGAGCGAGCTTCTGCGAAACCAAGTGCGGGTTGAGGGTGGGATTACTGCGCGAGCAGTGGAACTGGCGATGGCAATTTCGACTGTTGAACTACACCCCGTAGCCTCCACCGCATGGTTGCACCACATAGTTCAAGTACGCATCCACAGTGCAACAACGTACTGTTTGGGCCCCACGCTGGCCACGCTTGAATCCATGCTGCATGCGACACGGTGTGGTGCCCCGTGGGTGCCCCTGGTGGGTCCCCGGCCATCCCTCGGGCCCCCCCCCCCTTGGCCCCCCCCCCAGACCACTCCAAGGGCAACCCGGGCAGCCCAAGAGGTGCCCCTCCCCCGAGAAGGCCGCAAGACCACCGGGACCCGCCCCCCCCCCCCCCCGAGGAAACCACCGATCCAACGTAGGCCGAACAGAAACCGCCGAGACGCTCCCGAGAAACCACCACAAAAGGCCGCCAAGAGGCACCGCAGCAACGGCGGCACGCGACGGCATTGCCGCGATGGCGCGCCTGCGCGGCGTCGCTACCGAGAGGTCGCAGCGAGCGCGGAACTACGATGGCACTCGGAGCAGCGAAGCGGGGTGAAACTGCGCGACAGGTGCATCGGCGGCACTCGCCCATGAAATCGGAGCTGTTGGGGAGGCAAAGAGTGGGGCGCCTGGAGTGAATTGGCCGTCGCACGCTGCCCCACCTGCCCCAATCAAGAGCTGCTTGCGATGAGAAATGTCGGAGTCTGGTCATGCTCCAGGGCCACACGCGCGAGAGGATTCCAAAGCATCAGAATTAGACGCTGGCCATGGTACGTTGCTGCAGATGAAGTTCGCATGACTGCATTCCACGCCTCAGGATCTGCCCTTTGGCTGCTGGGTGCGCCGACTGCGAGCTCCGCTTGCAGCTCCCGCCCAGGAGGGCTGTGAAACTGTCTTTCCCAAGAACGCATGCAGAATTAGCTCGGGGCGTTTCGCCAACATTGTGCTTCACACGTTGAAAGGAAGGACGCGGATCTGTCGTCGCTGTAGAGCCTAAGCTGTGTGACAGCCGAGGCGCGACAATACTTCTCGGCGTCTGCCCCAAGTCATGCTTCAACCTCAGAAATACAACAACTTTGGATCCGCGGGTCGAGAGCGCACCTCTTCCGGTCGAAGCTAAGCGGGCCGCGCACAGCTTTAATTCACAGAGGGGGGAAGGCAGAAGGAGGGACCTCACGCCAAGACCAAAAGAAGGCAAAACCCCGGAATCAGGCGGTGCCGAAGACGATGTGCTTGCAAAAGAACGCCTTGTACAGGAACCTGGTGGCGAAGTACCGGAAGAAACAAAATGCTGTGGTGGTGGTGCCGTCACGCAACAATAAAAGACGCAACCAGGAAAGGAAAAGGCTTCGCACCTGAAGAAAAAGAAAAGCCACCAGTGTCGTCCCACTCTGCGGCGTGTGAGAGTGCCTGGCAGCTGTCTGCTGAGGATCCAGGGTCGACCCTCCTTGCAGCATGCCGCCTCGTGGAATCGCACGCCCACGCCTTGCCCTCAAGCGCTCTGCGTTGTTCCGAGACGGCCATCCGCTCCGAGGCGGCTGCAGGATGCCCCAGGAGCGGCCTGAGAGGGCACACAGCTCTCCCACAGACCGCCCATGATGCCGCCAAGGTACACCGAGAGGTCCCATGGAGTCTCTCTTGAGCAGGGACCGACCGTCCCGGCATTCCTATAGTCATACCACGAAATTTTCTTAGAACCTCCAACGTGTTCTAAGAACCGTGTTATTAAAACATAAACCCGATTTGTTGAAACAAGACAGTCCTAGCCAGACATGTTCTAAGAACATTTCGTGGGAACCACAACGAATCCTCAGAACATTGTTTGGTGGGGCTATGTGCGAGCCGGGACGCTTCGCCTCTGCTTGACCCTCGGCGGCCCAAATCGCCCCCCCCGGCAAGGCCCCGCGAGCCCGACGGCACCTGGCAGCGCCTCCGGCACGAGGCGACGCGCCCCCCATGGCCTCCCGCGGCCCTCGGAGGCGGGAGGGCCTCCTCTGGACTTCTGGGCGGCCGGGGCCCCCGAGCTTCCCCGGCGCTCTCGGGGCGGCCCCCCGGGGGGTCTCGCGCGTAAGGCTCCAGGGCGGCAGCCCCGCGCAGGAGGGCCCGAGCAGGGGCCCGGAGGGCCCCCGTGGGGCCCCCGAGATGGCCCGAGGGAGCCCCGAGGCGCCCCAAGATCACCCCCAGGCGTCCAAGATGGCTTCAAGACCTGGCCATCGCTCGGACGTCCATTTCCTGTGTTTTTTTCGGTTCCGCGCGTGGCTTTTACGCGAAATGATCAAGCATGCTCCTCGATGGTCCTCGCCGAAGGAAAAATGCACACGTCCGAGCGATGCCAAGAGACTGGCAAAGAGGCCCCCAAGAAGCTCCAAGGGGGCCCCAAGACTCAAAGACACCCCCAGGAAAGCCCGCATCCTTCTGGAACGCCTATTTTTAACGCATTCGCTTTTCGGGGCCTTTCTTGCGTCCACAACGGCACATGGAGCCCCCGTAATCACCCCAAGAGGGCCCGAGAGGTCCCCAACAGAGCCCACGACGGCCCACGAGGCCCCCGAGACGGCCCTACAGGCCCCGAAGGTGGCCCAGCATTAGGGGAACAAAAAGTAACATAAACATTAAAAACTCCGAGGTCCGCGCGGATTTCTCGTATCGGCGCTGGGCCCCCCTCCCTGGCGCGCGGAGCGCGCCAAGGGCGGCACCCCCGGGGGGCCCCAGCTGCGATCCGAGAAATCCGCGCGGACCTCTGAGTTTTTGTTTATGCCACTTCTTGTTCCCCTCAGCATGGCCTCGAGATGACCCCAGAAGGCCCCAGAAGGGCCCCAGAGGGGGAGCTCGAGCTTGCGTTTCGAGCCCGCCACCCTGAGATGACTCCAGCGACCGCCGGCAGGCCCCGAAAAGCCCCCCCCCAAACAGAAGGCCCAAGAGGCTCCCCCCAAACCGCCTCCAAGGCTTCCGAGAGGCCTCCCAAGAGTTCCCCACAAGCATACCAGAAGCCTCTGGCCTACAACCAAGGCGCGGTGGCGGGATGGGCCGAAGGCCACCAGCTCCGCCGCCCCCTGTCTTGCCACAGGAGTGTACGGCGTGCTCAATTTTTGGTGATTCGTGGTTTGCAATTACTCCAAAAATTCCAACGGAGTCTCGGCCCAGCCCGCCGGCCACCGGGAAGGCTCCTCAAAATGCCTCCCTCGTTGGTCAAATCGACTCCAGCACACGGCTAAGATGGGCCAGTATGGCCTCCAAGATGGCCAAGATGACGCAAGATGGCCTCCAAGACTATTCCAGCATGCGTCCAAGACTACCAAGATGGGCTCAAGAGAGCCCAAGATGGCCCAAAATGAATTCAATAAGGCCCGACATGGCCTCAATATTGCCAACGAGGCCGCCAAGACATCCCAAGAGTCCCACGAGACCCCCTAAAAGAAGTTCCTTCTAAGGATGTTGGCACTTGCTTTCAAACGGCCTTCCGACGGCCCAAGAGCCCCAAAAAATCGTCCCAAAATCGCCCAAGAGGCCTCCAAATGGCCCCAGAACTGCCAAAGAGGCCCCCAAGACGGCTCCCAAGGGCCCCAAGCCAGCCCAAGAGGCCTCCACGACGCCCAGACGACCCTGAAGCGCCCCAAGAGGGCCTAGAGAGGCACCCAATAACACTCCCGACGGCGTCAGACGGGCCAGGAACGCCATAAGACGGCCAAAGAGGCCCCCAAGAAACCCCCAAAGGCCTCCAAGAGGCCTCCGGGAGGCTCCCAGGAAGCTTCCAGGAGGCCCCAAGAATGACCCAAGAAGCTCAGTGGAGGTCTCCTCATCCTTCTCCTCATCCTCATTGTCCCTCCCTCGCCTCATCCTCTTCCTCCCCCACGTGTTCCCCGAAGGGCTTCCACAACGGTAAGGGGAACGCATGGTCCAATAGCGAAGCCCAACCTTGCCCACACGTTTGGACACATTGGCGTATCCTAAAAAGCAGGGGGCGGCAATTATTATCCGTAAGCGTCTTCGATAAAACAAAACACGCGTTTTGGCTCCCATGCATGTTCGATGGAGGTTGCTTCAGAGGCACCAGATGGCAGGAACAAACAAACACTGTATTGCCCAGGACCATACACTCCGGATCTCATAACAATGGGGGGGGTCTGCTTTTGGGGGGGTCTAACGGGCTTCGGCAACCACAATTGTGAGGGGGTCTCGATTTTGGATCCTTTGTTGCCTGTCTGGGGGGGGTCTACTTGGGGGGGGTCCCAGACCGGCCGTCAAACACTGTTTTGACCCCCCCCCTTGTATTATGAGATTTTGAGTAGTTGCCAAGCAACGCCTAATCGCCATACATCGGCGATGCGGTGCTATCTGAGAATCCGAGTTGCCCCAACACGATTGGCATGAAGGAAACGGGTCCCGAGGGAAACGTGGCCTGGACCCAGGGGTGTCTCTCCAAGAACAGCTCTTCAGCACGAGTCGTTTGCTGACGGTCCCAGGGCTGGCAAGGGCCCGAGAGCCTGAAAACTCAACAAAAACCTAAAGGACCCCGTTCCTCAAAGACTCCTTCGTGGCGACGTTTGCTCCAACACGTGCGGAATTACCAACAAGGCCGCCATGCAAGAGCGCCTGCCTCCACGGTGAAGCCGGGCCGGGTCTTGTTCGTCCACGCACCGTCGAACGCCCCCTCCTTGGAAGAGATTGCGCTTTGCTCATGCCCCCCCATCTCCATATGGAATCCCAGTCAGCAGGCAAACTGGGAGGAATGGGGGAGGAGGGGGAGGGAAGGGGACGGAAAGGGATGGGGGAGGGAGCGGGGGAAGGGGGGAGGAGGGGGGAAGAGAGAGGGAGGAAGATGGGGGGGGGAGGGTGATACGAAAAGGAGGGGGACGGGAGACCGGGGGGGGGGGGAGAGGCGCACGTTTGCACAAGCATAAGTCTGGGTGTGCATTCTGACTTGGTTTTTCAGTCAGTGGCAGCTGAAGGTTCACAACAGAGGGAAGGACCCCCCTCCACTGGGCCCCAACCGGCAGGCCCCAGTGTGCGCCGCAGCGTTCATCGCCCACCACCACCATCGGAACATCCCTTACTTACCCCACCATCTGCTCTGTGGTAACCTTCTATCCCCAATCGGGTGTGCTCATCGATCGCTTCGCGCGTGTGCCACAAGGTGATCGGTACGAACATCACCCAGCAAACTCAACAAGCAGCTGTCTGCGATGTAAGGGGAGCAACAATCCACTCGAGCAGGAGCAGTCGCGCGCGCACTTCGCGCGCGCAGGTTATACCTGTCTTGGAGCCCAGGCTCTGGATCAGAGAAGGAAACAATGGGTTCCGAAGCTCATGATGTTCCCACCTACTTTAGCCTTGATCACCATAAAACAAAATTTCGAGCACCAAGAAAATACCGAAACTTGAAGGTTTTCAGGGCCCTGGGAGGCGATACTCGTTCGACACTGTTTCGATACCTTTCTGGGTGCTCGGAACTATTTCTGGGATTTGGTCCTGAAGTACGATGAAAGCAACATGGTCGGAAGCCCATGCATTCGTGGCTGAAAGCGCGATCAGGGTTGGTGTGTTCGGGCGTACGACTGCATAAAAGTGCAGGTCGTGCGCCCCGCCGCCGCGCTGCTCCTCAACAGCCGAGGGAGGGGGTGGGGGAGGGCGAGGCGAGGGGGGGGGGTAGAGGTACTTCCCCCCGCAACAGTCAGCCAATGAGGGAAGGGATGAGGGGGGGAGGGGAGGAAGGGGAGGACGGACCACCGGGAGGAGGGAGCTAGATGGGGAGGAAGGAGCAGCGGGAAAAGATGAGGGCTGAGAGGAGAGGGGAAACGGAAGGAGGAGGGAGAAGGATGAGGACGAGGACGACGAAGAAGAGAAGGGAACTTAAGGGGAGCGAGGAGGGAGGGAGGAGGGATGGATAAGGGAGAATGAGGGTGAATCTGCAGGAATACGGGGATGGCGAGGAAGATGCATAGGAGGAGGAAGGACAGCAATGAGGAGCAATGATGAAATTGATAAGGAACTCCTCCTCCTCGTTACCTGTCACATTATTCTTCCCGTTTTTACTTTGACCTCTTCCCAGCCCCGGCGAGCGGGGGTTCCGCGCCTCGCCCAGCAGGGCCAGCCCCACCTGGTCAGCCTGGCGGCGCTCTCCTCACACTATAGCATTAGATGGTTCGCGCTGTCGGCGCCCTTCCCCGACTTGCTCCACCTCCTCCCCATCCTCCTCTTCAACCTCGTCCTTTCCACACCCCGCCTCCTCCACTCCTCAAACCTCCTCCCCCTCCCCCTCCTTCTCCTCCTCCTCCTCCTCCTCCTCCTCTTCCTCCTCCTCCTCCTCCCCTCGTCCTCCTCCTCCCTTGGCTCATCCTCCGTCAACAACGCTGCTCTTGTCACGAATCATCATCGGCAACACCATCAGCACGAGCATCTGCATCGACATCATGAGCAGCATCGTCATCAGTAGTTACCCTCAGCGGCAACAGTAACTCAAACATCATACTCATCGACATACTGATTACCATCGTCAGCAATCATCGTCATCAGAGCATCTGTAGCGGCAACATCGTCGTCATCACCATCGTCATCGCCATCACCAATGTCGTCGTTGTCACTCGACTCCAGATGCGCCGAGCGGATTCGCATGCTCACGGAACCATTGGACGCTGTGTTCCTCGATCTCGCATAGGTGTTTGACCGACGTATGAGGAAAGTAGCCCACCCTTGATCAGAGCGGCATGCGAGCAGGCAAGACTCTCGGCTGATGCTGCTCGGCACATCGCCGAGCATCTCGCCGTCCAGTCACCTGCGCCCGATACGTCAGTAATACCGCCGCACCTGATCTCGGCGGTGGACAAACCTCCCTTTAGTAAACCACCCTTTAATGAAAACGGCCTGGGACCGAAACCGACGCCCTCTCGCAAACCGAAAACGGCCAATTCGCTAATCGACGCGTCAAGGTAGGAGGTGTGTCCACCCCCGATGATCAGGCTGATCAGGCTGCTCGACACGTGGCACACCTCGAGGCCTGGCTCACTCTGGAGGCGGGCTTCGAGACACAGAACAGTACATCAGCAGAACCGCTCGGAGGTCCCAGCGCCGATCAAGGAGCTACCCGCCGAACGCCGCACGCGTATGCTTACACAATTTTGCCGTCTTCGGCTGGCGACGGGCTGGTGCGCCAGGGATGGCGATTCGCGGCGCTCACGGATTGGGGAGACGTGAGACTCGGGTTCGGGGGACTCGGGTTGGCCTGACGGGGCCATCATGAAAATGACGATACCCAATCTGAAATTTGACGCCAATTCCAACTGCAAATATCCCAGGAAAACTGGACCGTCAAAGTCCGGGACGCGCTCGTCTAAAAACGTCGGCAAACCCGAGTTCCGGCATAGTCGAATCTTACGTTCGTGAGCGTTTTCTTATTCGGCCTTCGACATTGGGCGGAAGGGGGGAGGGAAGGGGGGGTCTGGCTCCAGATCTCCGCTTATTGCGACTGTTTGCAACAGTGCGTCCTATGGGGGAGTGTCCCCACCTGCTCGAACCAGGCGCCAAAAACAGCCATGATCTACTCCATGGGGCGTTCTGTCTTAGGAGCGCCCGAGGATGGCCCAAGAGCTCCCTATACCAGTCCAAGACGCTCCACATAAGCCCAAAAGTGAACCCGATACGGCCCGTAGACGACTCAAAAGGGTCCCAATATGGCCCAACCGTGCCCACAAACGACCCGAATTGTCATTGGCCCCAACGGGGCGCCAAGACGGTCCAGAGAGGACCCCATGCCGGCCTCCGAAGGCGCCAGACGGGCCAAGAACGCCCGATGACGGATCTAGGACGCCCCAGTACAGCCTAATTACGAGGACCCGACGGCCCCCCCCCCGGCAAAAAACTCGAAGGCGAAAACACATCCACCGAACATCCCCAAGGGAGCCTCGCAGGGCCCCTCACTAATTTTAGGTCGGGCCCGTCCCCCTACAGCGGGATTTCGGACGACTAATTTCAAAAACCCCAAACATGCTCAAACATATTCAAACAATACCCCAAACATTGTCCCGATATTATTGTTTGCCTATTTCCCTACCTAGGCTCTGCCTAGAAGGGTTCTTACGTCGTAGCTTAAAGGGCCGGGCAGTGGGGCACGCCCCGGGCGGTTCCCCCAATATCCGCCCAGCGGTTCCCCCAGTGACGTTCCCATAGCTTCGCGTTGCTTATCTCATCTTAGCTTAGCTTATGTCATCTTACCTTAGCTTAGCTTCATCTTACCTCAGTTTTATATTAGCTTAGCTTACCTTCATCTTAGCTTCGCTGAGCTTTAGCATAGCAGAGCACAGCATAGCGTAGCATATAGCATAGCGCAGCATCGCATATCATAGCATGGGTGTAATTTTATGATCCTGCCTATCATATTATTCCCTACCTAGGCTCTAGAAGGGTTCTTACTCTCTGGGCTTAAAGCGGCCGAGCAGTGGAAAGCGCCCCGGGCGGTTCCCCCAGTATCCGCCCCGCGGTTCCCCCAGTTACGTCCCCTTAGCTTAGCGTTGCTTGTCTCATATTAGCTTAGCTTAGCTTGACGTAGCTTTGCTTAGCTTAGCTTGGCCTAGCCTAGCTTAGCTTAGCTTAGCCTAGCTTAGCTCAGCTCAGCTCAGCTTGGCTTAGCGCAGCATCAGCATAGCATAGCATAGCATAGCGCAGCATACCATAGTGCAGCATAGCATATCATAGCATAGCATATCATAGCATAGCGAAGCATACCATATCATTGCATAGTCTAGCATGGCTTAGCATAGCACAGCGCAGCACATCATAGCATAACATATCATAGCGCAGCATAGCATAGCATAGCATAGCGCAGCATATTATATCATAGCTTAGCATAGCATATCGCAGCATAGCATAACCTAGCATAACATAGCGCAGCATAGCATATCACGTATAGCCTAGCATAGTACAGCATAGCGCAGCATAGCATAGCATAGCATAGCATAGCATAGCACAGCTTATCATAACATAGCATAGTATAGCGCAGCATAGCATATCATAGCATAGCATAACATAGCGCAGCCTAGCATACCCTAGCATACCCTAGTACACCCTAGCGCAGCATAGCGCAGCATAAAGCAGCATAGCATAGCATAGCATAGCATAGCGCAGCATAGCATGTCATAGCATAACATGAAAACACAGGCAACGCAACAGCAGTAACAGCAACGCAAAGCACCCAGAACGCAAAACAAAGGTAGTGTATATGTATATTTAGGTGTATGTGTAGGTGTAGGTGTAGGTGTAGGTGTGGATGTAGGTGTAGGTGTAGGTGTAAATGTACATGTAGGTGTAGAGGTGAGTGTAGTTGTAGATGTAGATGTGTAGATGTAGATGCATGTGTACATGTAGATGTAGCTGTAGGTGTAGATGTGGATGTAGATGTAGATGCATGTGTACATGTATATGTAGCTGTAGGTGTAGATGTGGATGTTTGTCTAGATGTAGATGTAGGTATTAAGCTGTACTATCACTGCTACTACCGCTACTGCTACAACTGCGACGATGAGGAGAAGGAGGACGGCGTTTACCGTTACTACTAATATTGCTCTCCTCGGGGCTCCAACTCCTAGGTAGGGTCGCTCTGGGATAATGTTGAATTTTCCTCCTGTACAGGGACAGGCTCGACTTAACACTAACTTTCCCGAATGGTTTTCCCAACAACTGGTGGAACAAACACTCCGCCAACGTGGCCACACGTCCGCTCGACCTTTCGCAACACATGCGACTCCAACCAGCCGGGGGCCAGTGATTACTCGCTGTAAGCGTCTTCGGGTAGTCCTCACGCCTCCTCGCCAACCGATCTCCTCCTCCTACTCCTCCTCCTCCTCCTCCTCCCAACTCATCTCTCCGCTCCACTCTCACCTCCCCGCCCCCCCCTGCTCGTGCCATCCCATGGGGTCGAAGAGGGACGGCGCGGTGACTCTGCGCGACCCAGCTTGGCAATGCGCCGTGAACGAGGCTGGGGCGGTTGGACCGCTGGGGAACTCTTGGTCCGTCTACGGGCCTTTTGGTTAGCCTTGAGTCGGGCGCGTCCCCCTACAAGGGGACGTTCGACGAACAATAAAAAATACTCCAACAATACTCCAAAATGGTAAAGAAATGCTAGGAAATAGTCCCCCCGACTATTTTTTGACCATTCTTGGATATTCCCCCTGTAAAGGGACGGGCCCGACTTAAGGTTAGACCCTCACCCCTCGCCGTGCGCAAGGCAAACCTGGATGCATCCGCCAGCGAAGAGGTGGGCTCGACAACTCGGTCTCGAGTGAGGCGGGTCGTGGGCTGGTCTGATCATCGTCTGCGGCCCTGCCAACAACCGATGACTCCAATACGGCCAGACCTGGGACAGAAAACCATCCTTCAAAACATGAGACCCGCCGCCGGCCAGAGCACCGCAAACCAAAGGATCACTCGAGGGTACCCTCTCCCAGGATGCTAGAAGAAAAACAAACGCTATAAACATCAACTTTTGGCGCTCCGCGCGGATCTCTTGGATCTGCGCTGGACCCCCCTCCCTGGCGCGCGGAGCGCGCCAGGGGCGGCGTCGGAGGCGCCGCCGGGGTGGCCTAGCGTAGATCCCAGAAATCCGCGCGGACCGCGAAAAGTGAATGTTTCCGGCATTGTTCATCTTCGAGATGCGCAAGAACATCCAGCAACCACGAAGAGCACTGGGTTACAGTAGGGGTACGACCACACGAAACCTGCCATAAGAAACCCAACCCTGAGACCCCACGACGCCCATCGATGTTTGGTGTGGGAACGTCACGTTGTCCATCGCAAAACCATCGAAACCCAAGAAACACAAGGCACCCTGCTCATTGCACTGGCCCTGCAGACGTGCTGCAACGGATTTTCTGCCTGGATTTCTGCCCGAAAGGGCGAGCGAAACACGAAGTGATTTTCGCGTGGATTTTTGGGGGGTCTTCATTCCTGGCCAAACATATCCGCACGAAATTCACCTCGAAGACCGGAACGAAATTCTCCAGGACACTCCCCGGGCCCATCCCATCGTGTTCCGAACGAAATCCGCTCTGCGATGTTGGCGCCATGACCCTGGAGTTGAGTAGGGACCGACCGTCCCGGCATTCCTATAGTCGTACCACGCAATGTTCTTAGAATCCGAAAGTGTTCTAAAAACAAAAGCAATGTTCTTAGAACACAAACCCGACGTGTTAAAACGAGACAGTCCCAGCCAGAAGTGTTCTAAGAACGCTTCGTGGAAACCACGCAAAAGGTTCTTAGAACATTGCTTGGTGGGCTATAGGCGAGCCAGGACGCTTCGCCGCTGCTTGATGGAGGCAAGCAGGGTGCTTCTTGGCATGAGCCTCCACTGCATACCCTCCCCGAGCCGACCTCGATCTTGGGCCTCGGTCCGGCCGGGCCACGCCTGCGCGCGAGGGGGGAAGTGGGTTGGGCGGCGCACCTCCTCCGCGCACTCCTCCACCTTGGCCAGGGAGCGGATGCGGCCTCTCCGAGGGGGGGGGGCTCTCGACGGGAGAGGAAAGGAAGGGAAGAATAAAGAGAAAGAGCGAGAGGAAACAAAAAAGAGAGAAAGAGAGAGAGAGAGAGAAAGGCAGAGAGAGAGAGAGAGACTTGGCGTCGCGCACAAGGGGGCATGGGGGTGGGGGGAAGGCCTGGCCTTTTAGAAAAGGGGCTGCTTCTCAGAGGGCGCCCGCCTTGCATCTGCAGACAAGACCCGCGCCTTCTAAGAAGCAGGGGTGATTCTAAGCGGCCTTCCCCACTCCCCCTACCCCCCTCTGCGCGTGGCCGAGAGAGGGGGAAACAACGAGAAAGACAGTGAGAAGGATAGACAGAAACCTAGAAAGAGAGAGAGAGAGGGAAAGGCATACAGACGGACAGACGGACGGACAGACGAACACACCGACAGAAAAACGAATGGACAGATAGAGACGAACATACAGAAACGGAGAGACGGAAGAGCGCAGAGACGGAGCGACAGGAGGCCAGAGGGCCAGAGAGAGACAGACTTGTGTTTTTTCCCTTCGAGGGAGAAGACGCGGCGGACACCGAGCGATCCGCTGCCCCTCTCAAAGGGGCGACCATCCCAACGGACGTGCCCGACAGCGGCAGGCCGCGCATTCAGGGGGGGGAGCGGAGGAGGGGGGGGATACGGTCAGGAGGGGAAAAAACACACATACACAATTAATCGTCGATTCCCCAGAAAATATGGGAAAATGTGGGAAGTGGGGGGGAAGACGAAAATCCAGAAAATATAGGAACATATGGGGAATCCTTTTATTCCCTACCTAGGCTCTGCCTAGAAGGGTTCTTACTCTCTTAGCTTAAAGGGGCCGAGCAATGGAAATCGCCCCGGGCGGTTCCCCCAGTCCCCTGGGAACGGTTCCCCCCAGTCCCCTGGGAGCTTTAGCTTTAGCTTTAGCTTAGCTTTAGCTTAGCTTTAGCTTAACTTTAGCTTAGCTTTAGCTTAGCTGTAGCTGAGCTTTAGCTTAGCGTTTCGCTTAGCGTTTTGCTTAGCGTTTCGCTTAGCTTTAGCTTAGCTGTAGCTTATATTTAGCTTAGCTTTAGCTTAACTTTAGCTTAGCTTTAGCTTAGCTGTTACTCAGCGTTAGCTTAGCTTTAGCTTAGCTTTAGCTTAGCGTTACTGTTACTACTAATGCTGCTTTCCTAGGGGTTCCAACTCCTAGGTAGGGTCGCACTGGGATAATTTGTGTGTATTTATTTGTGTGTCCTTGGGCCCCTTCATACGGGCAGAGAAACGATATGGAGAACACGCGGAGCTGGCGGGCGCTCAGCGCGGTCGGAGCGGCAAACCGGGCAACGGGATCGCGAATTGTGCCCAAACGGCAACGCGACGAGGAGGACGGCCGCTGGGGAGGGCGATGGGCGGAGACGCGAGCTCAGACCACGGAGGCTTTCTCGAACAGCGCGGGGGGCCTCAAGTTTCCGACGGCCGCGTGCCTGCTGCCCACCTGCTGCCAGCCTGCAGTCGACCCGTATCAGAAGGACGCACGATAAGGATGCAAGTGCCTTGGAAGGCCGTTCCGAAGCTTGTCGAGCGGGGCGCGGCCAACGAGAGTGGCCAAGGATAGACCGAGGAGAAAAAGATGCAAGGGTACCCTTGGGAAAGTTGCCCATCCCTACTGTACGTGTTGACTGTGGCCTGCGTGGCCTGCGCTTGGCTTTCTGACTCGATCGGGCCCGGCTCGCGCCTGACGGCGCTGCTCGACGGCGCTCGGAAACGAAGACCTGGGAGCGGCCGCAGCGGTCGACGGGGCTCCAATCGCCCAGGTGCTCGACGGCAGTCCGAGCTGGATAAGCAAGTCCTGGCTCGTGTCCCCCGTGGTCCCCGCTCTGCGGCCCACGGTGGCCCCAGGGGAGGGAGGCTAACGCACACCAGAGAAACACGTCCAACCTGCCCCTGGACAGCTCGCAGGGCCGGCCCCGGGGCAGCTGCGACTGCCTGGCGAGGGAGAGGACAGGGGCCTGAGATAGGGGAACAAAAAAGGACATACACATATAAACTCGGAGGTCCGCGCGGATTTCTCGGATCGGCGCTGGACCCCCCTCCCTGGCGCGCGGAGCGCGCCAGGGGCGGCGCCGGAGGCGCCGCCGGGGGGCCCCAGCGCCGATCCGAGATATCCGCGCGGACCTCCGAGTTGTTATGCTCATGCCACTTTTTGTTCCCCTGTGGGAGGGGGAGGACGCGAGAAGCAGGCAGGCCACAGACGACGACGAGAAGCAGGCAGGCAACCGACGACGACGACGACGACGACGACGACGACGACGACGACAGACGAGGCAGGAACCGGCACGCACGCAGGAGGCCGAGGCCGGCGGGGCGACGCGAGGGGGGCCGGCGGGCGGGAGAGAGGCACGGAGCGACGGCAGCGAGCGGGGAGCAGCGGCGGAATGGGGTCGATGCCAGGGAGGAGGGCAGGGGGCAGCCTCCTCCTCCTCCTCCGCCCTCCTCCTCCTCCTCCTCCTCCTCCTCCTCCTCGGAATCGGAATGGGAATCCGCCGACCCCTTGGGGATCATCGGCGTGTGAGATGCTTCCCCCTCCCCAAACCCCTCCCCCGGGAGCCCGGTGCGGTCGATTTGGAGGGGGGGGGGGGGGGGGTCCGGCACGAGCGGGGGGGTCCGGGACGAGCGGTTCACGGGGCTTTTCCGGGCCCAAGAGGGCCTCAAGACGGGCCAAGAAGCCCCCAAGAGGCCTCCAAGACGGCCCACGAAGGCCCCGAGACGCCAAACGACCGCTCCAAGACGCCCAAGATGGCCCCAAGACGGGCCAAGAGGTCTCCAAGACGGCCCCCGAGGTCCCAAACAAGCCTCCCAAGAGGGCCCCAAGAGTCTAAAATTGTTGATTTTCCATCGTGTGTTTCGATGTTTTTTGCTTTTCCGCCTTTTCGGCTTCCCGACGCTCCAAGACGGCCAAAGAGGCCCCAAAGACAGCCCCAAGATGGCCCAAGAGGCCCCCAAGACGGCCTCCAGACGGCCCAAGACGGCCCCAACACGGCCCAAGAGGTCCCCAAGACGGCCCAAGAGGGCTCCAAGACGGCACCAAGAGGGGCCCAAGAGGGCGACCAAACATGTTGAAACTCTAGCTTTCTGCCCCCAGGAGCCCCAGGGGGCCCCAAGAGTGCCCCAAGAGGCCCCCAGAGGCCCTCACGAGGCCGCCCAGACGCCCCAAGGAACCCCCAAGAAGCACCCCAGAGGCTCCGAAACGGCCCCCAAGTGGCTCCAAAACTCGCTTCCAGAGGCCCCCGAGAAGCGATCCGCGAGATCCCGATACACATACAAGAAGCCTCTCACCCATAACCCATAACCCAGAGCCGTTTCTCCGTGTCCCCCTTCTCCTCCTCCTCCTTTTCCTCCACCTGGGCCCCCAAATGGTTCCAAACTGCCTGCCGTAGGCCCCATGCCGGCACACCCTTTGCACGCGCCGTGGCCTCGCACATGGCCAAGTTGACCCATCATGACTCCTGGGCAGTCCCCAAAAAAAACTCCCGACCGCTACCGAAACGGCTCGAAGACATTCCCGAGCCCAACCTGGCTCCATTATGCCTCTCAGATGGCCCCAGATGAGACCACGACCGTCCGCGGTGTCGCCGTCCGCTCGGACCCCCCCGCGGAACTGCCCGAGACCCTCTGGCGGTGGCGGCGAACAGACACCAAACAAATATCACTCGCCTTTTCACCCCTTCGCAGCTTCTACTACCCCCAGATTGGCATAAACAAGGGGTCGGCGGTGTGGCGTAAGCCTAAGAATCGGAATCGGGGTCTCAAGGCACCTGACATGGCTGCCTATCTAAGCGGGGACAAGACAAGGAAGGAGAGAGGAGGGGCATCACATGGTAGCGGACCACACCGTTGGATCCCCCTCAAACTCCCCAGGGGGCACGCAGCTAAAGGGCTCAAGGGCATCTGGTCTTTCCGTGGAGACGCGCGGCAAGAGGTGCATCAACATATCCCTCTCATTCCACTGACTGCTACCTGTGACATCGGCACACACCATCGCACGCGCAGACTCAGAAGAAAGCATGGTGGTGTCAGGACGGATGACAGTTGCAAAAGGTTCCAAACTAAATGGAGAAACCCACGAAGGGGCGGGAAGGTCAAGCCCAAACGGAATACCACGCGCAGCAGCAGCGCAATGAAGGACCCCCGCCGCCAACATCAGATGGTTCCCTTCACGGAGACAGGCGAGCTCCGTGCCCGAGAGGTCGGTCCGACCCCATGAAGGGACGAGGACCCCATGGAAGGGAGGAGGACCTCAGAGGCCTCAGGACCTCAGAGGCCCTCATGGGCTCCTCCTCCTCCTCCTCCTCCCTCCTCCCTCCTCCTGATCCTCCTCCTTCCTCCCTCCTCCTCCTCCTCCTCCTCGCCGTCCTCCTCCTCCTCCTCCTCCTCCTCCTGATCCTCCTCCTCCTCATGAGTGCAAACAGACTGCCGGGCCAATGCTTCCGCCCTTCCCGCCCCCCCCCCCCTCCCATCCCGTCTTCCCCCCCGTCATGGGGAGAGTGGGCCCGGCGAGGGCCGAAGAGAGGGCGGGGGAGGGGGAAGGAGGGAGGGAGGAGGGAGGGGAGGGAGGGGAGGGGGGAGGGAAAGGGAGGAGGAGGGAGAGGAGGCAGGGGGAGAGGGGGGGAGGGAGGGGAGGGAGGCAGAGGGGGGAGAGGAGGGGAGGGAAGGGAGGGGAGGGGAGAGGAGGGAGAGGAGGGAGGGGAGGGGGAACGGGAGGGAGGAGGGAGGGGAGAGGGAGAGGGGGTGCATCCGAGTGGGGGTCGTGTGGTCTCCGCGCGGGGGCGCGGCGCTTCCCCTGCAAGGCGTTCGGCCTCCCGCTCTCTTGGCCACCTCGGCCGCGATGGCCTCGCCCACGGCGCCTCTGCGCCTGAAGTCCCTTGCGGGTGCGCGCGCGCGCTGGGATGCCTCCACGCCATTCAGTGCGGAGAGAGGGGGGGCGAAGCGCGTCAAGAGAGGGGCAATGTATATTCACTCGTGTGACACATGGACCGTCATGTCCCTCGTCACTTATTTCCTCATCGCGCACGGCCTCACTCTGCCTTCCGAGTCGTGCGTAGAGGCGACAGAAGCAAAACGAAGCGTGAAATGATACAGCGCTACCACTAACCCGCGAAACGGGCACTCAATCTTGTGTACGCGTCCATGCCCGTGGTTGATTGTATAATGCCCGTGCCAAGAATTAGCATCGCTTAAGATAATGTTGATGTAGTACTTGCATGGTGGGAGGGCGGGAGGGAGTAAGCGAGACAGCCTGTGGCGTTCTCGTTGACAACTTGACCTCGACCCTCCTCGTGGCCAGGAATCGGCCGATCTGTCGACATCGGCCGATTCCTGGCCACTGGCGGCGTTGAAGCTTGAAGGCCCGAGTTGGCGTTGCCGCCCCGGCAGCGCGGCACGAACCTGCCCCTTGCGACTGAAGGGCGGAGCGGTCAGGCGGCCCGTTCACGGCAGGTTCTTCCCAGGCGGGGCTCGACGCGACTCGAGGTGCGTCTCAAGGTCTCAAGGTGCGCCCACGATGACTCCGAGATCGTCCCAGATGCCTCAGTATTGGCTCCAAGATGTATCGTGCAAGTTGGACTCGCTTGGCGCCCAGCATGCCTCCTGGAGGCCATGCGATGCCTCCAAGACGCCTCGAGCATGCTTCGAAGCCCATCAAAGATGCCACATCGAGGCCAACATCTGGCAAGCACATGTGTCTTGCTCAATTATGTTAATCTTCTCACACTTTTGCTTCTGATGGGTAAACGAGGATTCAGGATGGCCCCAAGATCGCCAAGGAGAGCTCCAAGAGGTGCCCAGAAGGGATCTCCTTAGAGGGCATCATACACCACCACGAGCGCCGCAACAGCATCGCAAGGGGGCCCTAAGTCGTGCTTGTTCGAACTCCAGAGGGGGAGGAGGGGGGGCGTGCCCGAGTGGACGCCGCCCTTGCGTGTTGGTCTTTGCTCTCCAGTGTATCCCAAGAGACCCCCCTAGCAACCCTCGGAGCCCTAAACGAGAGATCCCCACGAGAGCCCCGACTTCCTCCCAAGACGCCACATGCGGGCCGGACTTCTAATATTCATATCCACTGCGTCTTGGACTTTCTGGGAAGGGGCGCCAACAGGCCGCGGCGCAGTGGATATGGATAAAACATCTGGCCTCTGGGGGCAACATTGCTTTATAAATGTCCACGGCGCCACTGGTATCGGAGGAAGGCTGAGGAAGGGAGCCCGAAACTCCAAGACGCATTGGATATGCATAACAAGCTTGCCGGCACCACAGACGAGCCCCAAGATGGCCAGAAGCAGCAAGGGTCTCCACGGTCGAGTCCAGAACTCTTCGCGCACCTCAGCTGCTACGAAAAAGACGGGAATCATCCATGAGGGACTTCGCGGTGGCTGCGTCAGGCGCCCACGTCATAGGATGACTCACGGCAGGGGAATGTGGGAGAGAAGAGGCTGCCGCCCCCCACTCGTGAGGATGATGATGACGCTGATGCTGCTGATGATGATGATGATGAGGATGATGATGAGGATGATGAGGATGATGACGGCAGTGATGATGATGGTGGTATGATGGTGCTGCTGCTGCTGATGATGATGCTGATGATGATGATGAAGCGACCTCCAAGGCGGAGCTCCCCGAAACCACGTGCCAACATGATGATGATCATACCTTCTCGGATTTGTCTTTGCATCCAGGAGATAATAGAACTTCGTGAACCGATCTGTGGTGGACCGCAGGATCTCTCGAGCCTTCGGGATTGAAGGCCGTGGTCCACCCCGTGCTGTCCCACCTGAACACTCGGCCACGCAAGGATCGAGAAACGGTTGAGGAGGAGGAGGAGGAGGAGGTGAAGGTGGAGGAGGACATGGAGGTGGAGGAGGAGCTGTTTCTCTGCATGCTCCCATGCGTGCCGTCCCACCCTCCCGCTGCTCCTCCCTTCACCTCATCCTCCTGCGTATCCTGCTTACCCTTTATCTGTTTCTGCTACGTCATTGTCCTCCTCCCCCGGTGTCATCCTGCCCCCATTTTTTCTCCTTCGACTGCTGCTCATCTAAAAGTTCCCCACCAAGGCACGCGAACGGATATCAGTTCTACCGCAATGGTTCTTCTACTGCGGCTGTCCATATCAAGGTCCCCCCAAGGCGGCAAGCAACCGGATCAATCTCGATCGCAGTGCCTCGGCAGAACACATGACTGCCAGCGTGGGGCCCAAACAGCAAGACATTGCACTGTGGATGTGTGAGTTAGGTGGTGCAACATACAAGGTGCAAGCTAGATGGCGCAAAGTATGCGATGCAACCATGGGGTAAGCTACGTATGTGCTGCAAGCGTAACAGTGCAGGCTATGTAACACAATCTGCGTGGTGCAAGCTGCGTGGTGCAGCCTGCGTGGTGTAAGATACGTGGGGCAAACCAGCCATGGAATGGAATACGTGTGGTGCAACCTGCGTGGTGCACGATTTGCGTGCTGCAGGCTATGTGGTACAAGCTGTGCGGTCTGAGCCGTGATGCACTATGCGTGGTGCAAGCCGTTCGGCGCGAGCTGCGTGGTGCAGGGCCAATCTGGGTGGTCAGAGCCGTGTGGAAGCTATGTTTTTTTGTATCAGCGAAATTCTGGAAGGGAGGAGGGGGAGCGGACACATCAACGCGATGAAGTCTGAAACGACTCTGGCAGGTCACATAGCATCCAATCCCATGTCGAAGGAATACGATATGGGGAGTGGATGGATATGATAGGATAAGATCGATGTAGTGATCCATCCAGCACATAGCGAGCACTAAGGTAAGTGTCCGGGCAGATAGGGCGCGCGTGCCTTGAGCCAAAGGCAACGGCGCGCAGGCTATACTCCCGATCCTCTATGACATTTCCCAAAGAGCGGCCATTAAAGTCGGGAGGGGAGGAGACGGAGAGTAAAGCCGCGCAGCCGTTAGGCTCTAGAAAGGCCGCGCGCACAACTGTTTGCAAGAAAAACAATACGCACAGTCTGGCCTACCACCAGACTGAAGGGCGAGATTATTCGCCGGCGGGTTTCCTCGCAAAACTTTCCCACGCACACGCAGGATAGCCCCTTGGATATACAGGGGCTATCGGCCCGGCTAGAGGTAAGCCAAACAGGCCATTCCCCTTCCAGGCAAAAGGGTATTAAAACAAAGAGCCTGCACCAAACCGAACAGGCTCGTTTCCAAGCGTGAATCGTATGGCTCGTTTCCGAGCAGCTAAGAGGGCGCCTCTGTATTAGGCGCCCGTGCTGGCAAACTGGACCGCGGGGGCAGCAAGGACAGACTAAAACTGATACGACTTAAATTTGTTCCTGTCCTCGGGGCCGCGAAAGGGAACAAACTGCTTCACGTCATACTTAAATGACTGAGTGCCTGACATCACTTCCAAAAGCAGCTCGCGATCGATACTCCCCTGTGCATGCCGATTTGCGGTCATGTCTCTAGTATCACACCACTGTATGTTATGCACTATACCTATATCCATGAGCTCACGTATCCAGCTGATCTGTCCCAACAAAGTCCGTTCCGTCGGTATCTTAAGATCTTTGCTGGGTAGCGATTTGTATGCAGACTCAGCGTCTATAGTAAGGGCTACTTTGATAGCTAGGCCTCCAACTTCACGCATATCTCGTAGTTGTCCTGGAGTCAGTGCCCCTGCCTTGAGCTCGTGAAGAGTGATGAGCGTGGGATAGCATTCATCAAGATTGTGTGCAGCTGCACGTGCCTCAGCGGCGTAGCTGGACCTCACCTGCAGTCGGTGTGATTTGCATAGTCCGTCACAAAGGTGAATGACGGATTTGCCTTGGGGCGAGTTTCCTCGCCGTAATACGTTAGCCCCACGAATGCCGTAGCCCTTGGTTTCATCGTCCTCCTCTCCGGTGAGCTTCCGATACCCCGAATCACTGTGTATGTCTACTTCATTCGTCGGTTTCATCCGAGGGGCGGTGATGCGTTTCGGGCTGCTGATCAGCTTTCGGGTCGCAGCATTCAGTCGTCTGACTTGTAAATCGGTGGGTTCTCAAATCTTCTGGAGAGAGAGAGAGAGAGAGAGAGAGAGAGAGAGAGAGAGAGAAAAGAGAGAGAGAGAGAGAGAGAAAAGAGAGAGAGAGAGAGAAAAGAGAGAGAGAGAGAGAGAGAGAGAGAGAGAGAGAGAGAGAGAGAGAGAGAGAGAGAGAGAGGGAGAGAGAGAGAGAGAGAGAGAGAAAGAGAGAGAGAGAGAGACCACATACACAATAAGCCAGACTTGAGTAAGAAGGGCATAGGCGAGAGCTCCTCGCAGGCTGACGAACATGTCGGTGATGAGTTCGGTAGCTTTGGCGTCTGCCGCCGCTCCCGTAAGTTCAGGGTGTGTGATAGGACGTAGTTGTTTAATGTGTTCGTCCTGGTCCATGACCACATCCCCTTGTTCATTCTTCGTGTAGCGGACGGCGCACATCGCGTGATAATGTTTGTTGAGCTTGCATTTACCAAACACCTTTTCGACGCGTTGCACATAGTCATCTACGTTTTTCTCTGGGCCTGTCATATTGATGTCGTCGGCATGTTTTGCCGTTGACAGATCCTGACCGACTTCAAACTCAGCTCGTAACTTGTCGGTGTGAGGCCTATAGCTCGTGTAGCCGTGCGAAGCTTGAGGGAGAACGCTCTTGGGGTGTCCTTTGTACCCGTTCCTGGCTCGAGACACCTGAGACAGTGTCGGCTTTCATCGTAGGAAGAGAAGCCTGGTAGTGTACGAAGCAACTGGGCACTTCCTGGTGGAAGGGTGAAGCAAACCATGCGAGTTTCCTCGCCGGTGGCATGAGCAAGTTCCTCATAGGTCAGTCCTTTGAGGAACGCTACGTCGATATCCATAGATGCTAAGATCCATTCTGGATGACATGCCGCCTC